GGGGTCAGAGGGGATACATGTTCGTTTATGACTCCGGGCTTCACAGAGGGGATGAACATCAAAATCGCGAAAGTCGAGAGGGGAAAGAAGAGTGATTCACGGATGTGAAAGAGACACATACGATGGTAGAGGAAAGGGAAAGTCGAGTACTGGGGAAATATGACATTTATTTATTTATATCAAATGGCAGGCGTTTTGATTGTTATCATTAGCCCTTTGGTTGACTTCAGGCTTCACAGAGGGGAAGGAACATCAAAGTGAAAAAAAAGTCGAGAGGGGGGGGGGAGGAACAGAAGAACGTTTCAAAGATGTAAGATACAGACACAAAGGTATAAAAAGGTGAGGTGAGTACTGTGTAGATGATCGAATATGTCATGGTAGTTTGTAGTCAGAAGTCAAGTGCCGATTAATAGACCTTTTTCCGCATGAGTATACGTTGCTCAGAGTGTACCACGTGGAGCTAGGTCTAACGCACACTCCGGTGGAATATGACTTAAAGTCTGGTCATGGAGGTTAAAGTCAGAAGTCAATTGTTACTATTACTACCCCGATAATGCAATAAAGACATACTTTTAGTTTAATGGAGCACAAAACGTTGCAAAACGGTGAGTTCGCTGACCTATTAAGTGGAAGGAATCTAAAAGATACAGAGAGCAACTGTCAGGTACCAGAGCCTGACCTCATTTAAGTTGCAAAATAGTTACTAGGTCGCCTTATAATGCTAAAAAGTCAATTTTTTCTTCCCATTTATTAAGTGCTTATTGATTGGAATTGCAATAACTGAGAAGACGAAAGTTTAGGTCAGCTATTGTGATTTTCACATAGTGCAAGTATGATAGATAAGTTATATCGAGACCAACAGAGCTAGGAGAACTAAATTAGGTCATCGTAAATGATAAAATCATTAATAATTGCCCCCGCTCATTAATTGAAAGTGCTTTTCAACATATCGTGGAACCTCGAGAAACTAATCAATTGATTAAAATTAATTTATGCATCACTGATCTTTAAGTATGAAGACATATACATCAATGAAGCTTGTTTAAACAATCAAAAAGAAAATTATTCAAAGCAGAATCTTCCCTTTTATTCAAAACACGATTGATACAGTGAAACATGCTTGTTTAAATGAAATGACACCCTAAATCTATAGACGTATCTTCAAAAATTACTAATGATAAAAACTATTAATATAATTTAATGGGACTTCACTGCGCTGCGGATTGTAAAATATAACCGCTCACTCGATTTAAATTCAACAACAATCTTGTCATAAATTTACATTTAGAACAGATCCGGTACATATTACAATTGGTTGGGAATGGAATATTTCATTTTATTTCTAGGGAAATATTGATTTGTTGGTTGATTCGTGTTCGTCAATAACAATTTAAGGCAAATGATGATATGAATATTAGCAACCTAAACAGACGAAAAACTTGTTTAAAAAAGATATCAGCTTCAGTAACCTGATAAGGAGAAAAACGAAATGTGTACCGGTACTATTGTCGATGAATTATTAAGCGTTGCATCATTTGTGTGCATGAATGTCTTTTGCATTCTCTCTCAAGGTTTCACTAACTCGTGCATGATCTTGAGCTCAAAGGAAGCGAAGAAAAATCTCTCAATTGAGAGAAAGACTAATTGAATAAAAATTGGCCATATATTCAGATGAGGATAACGCATTCAATTTTTCAAACAATTTAAGCTCTGTCTTTTCTAAATTTATAACCTCCATAACTAAAACTGAATCAACATCATGAAAAAACTTTTAAAGTAGACCTCAAGTTGGTCCATTGCTACGAGTTTCCCAATTCAACAAGACAATATGAAGCGAACTAAAAGAGCAAAAAGGGAAAATAACAAGTATAGTTCCAAACAGCAAGTCTAAAATAAAAAACCCAGTAAAAATGTTTAAGTTACCTAAGAGATAGATATAGCTTTTCGGAAACAGAGAATCGATATTGCATATAATATATCCATATAATCCCGTCGCCATCGACGTCATATAATCATGTATCTATTTGAATAAAACTAATTTATATTAAAAAATCTATAAAACACTGTAATTTTGGAGTCAATGGCAAAGATTCAAATTCCTCGCACACAGAAAATGAGAAAGCGACCCCGGATTTATGCATTAAAAATAGATTTTGTACAACAAGTGGCTGTAATTGAACTTCGGAACGAGTTCATGAAAGCGCTAATTGAAATTTTTTCAAAAATAAATCCCATATATATTGCTTAAATTGAGTGGGGAACAAGTTATTAAAGTCTTGTAAAAAAATCCAGGCTAGTACGTTATGAAACGGAACATTGAGCAGTTGTATTCGCGACATTAAGGTCAATTACATGAACTGATAAGTTAAAACAATCATAAGAAATAAAACTATTTAGTCATAACTTTTAATATTTCGTTTCCTTAAAAAATCTTCTATATATATTTGCTTAAGTTGATGAATAAAGGTTCCTACCTTTTTAAACACATGCACTTTTTTATAAAATAAAATTTAAATTATATTAAGATTTTACCCTAATCTAGCATAATTTTAAATCTTCCGATCTTTAAACTCTCTCGTATAAGTAATTTGTATTGTCATAGCGCTTACTTCAAAACTTTCAGATTTGTTTGTTGTTCTTTTTGGATCTTTAACAATGGGTGTTCTTCAAGGTGGAATGAAATGGCTCAAATATTGCACCTTTTTCTTTAATTTCATCGTTTTTGTAAGTTAATCCTTTTTTATATTCTGCTATTTTTTGTTACTTTAAAATCGTCGTAGTCAGTTCAGTATTGCTGTAAAAATTTCTGAATTCTTTGGTTTTTAGATCGTCGGTCTCTTCCTCTCAGCAATTGGAGGATATCTCTTGTATAATTTGAATGTGTATGCGGGCCAGTTTGAAGATATGACCAAGATCGTTCCAATAGCAATCATTGTTCTTGGATTTATTATTCTTGTCGTTGGTTTCTTTGGGTGCTGTGGTGCTTGCTATGAAAGCCCTTGTATGCTGATTACGGTAGGTCGTTGTTACTTTAATATTTATTCGATCTTAGTTTGCAATTATCGTGGCCATTCTTCTATGTCTCCAAATAACGGTTGCAGTATTTGCTTTCTTGTACAAAGACGAGGTATTTAGTTATATAGCTTTTTGTAATTTCTTGCTCTAGACTATGGACTTTTTATCTAAAGGTGTTGAGCAAATTTTCAATCATCCTGACCAGCAATTAAGACGAACTCTCGAACAGCAGGTTTGCTTTGTATCCATGATTTAATACTTTGTTTCTAGCTTGGATGTTGCGGTTTTAAAATGCCTGACCCAACTTGTGGATTTTCCACTCTCCTGAAGGTATGATTTAACTCCTTTAAATTTTACTTTAAATTTTCTTTATTATAGCCTTGTTGGAATGTCATTACTTCGAAAGTTAATTCTTCCATCTATGTCATCATTGCAACTGTCGCAGTACTTTGTCTTCTCCAAATCGCAGCCATTATTGCTGCCTGTTGTCTTCAGTCTAAGATTCGAAGCTACTCCACTTATTAATTTTGATGCTTAACAATTGAAGCATTAGTTGAATCAAGTTTACCCATTTAATCCCGCTTTTGACTAGCCCGACAGAGAGCTTTTTGAATCCTCCCACTGCTTATGTAATTCACAATCTTCCATTTCATTACTATAACCACCTTCGTATAACCAAAACAAACTCGCAATCCTCAATGGATTTTGGGCATCGTATTAATATATATGTAATAATCCAAGTTGTTTTCATTTAAATTGATATTTCTCCCAACAGTTTTTTTTGTTATTTTCTTTTCTTTAGGTAATTTTACTGTTCTTTGATGATTTTTATAAAACTGGCGTTTGACTAGTGTTTGATTTTTACTGAATTGCATTGCCTCTGACGTAATCTGTCTCTGAGTAATATGCCCTTTTTGTACTTACTAAGGTTAAGAATGCTCTTTTCTAGTGGCGGTTAAGACGACATTTAGATTATTTTCCAATTTTAGTTATCTATTTCAGAGGGATTTGAACGATTTGTGGTATTTTTATCGCTCTTCATAAGTTCATTGAAGGAAGTTGATTTTAATCTTGCGCGGAGAAATTACATTTTGTAATCCTCTGGTGAGAAAGCGCTTTACGAAATTTGTCCCTTAACCAGTGCTGTTGTCTATTTCATTCGCTGGATGTGCCCTGATGACTGTCGTCGAGTTTGTGATGTATGCATTGACTGCTAAGCGGTCATCAAATATTCAATCACACTTTTAACTGAATTACTCTTGAAATTGGTAAATCCAGTTAAAAAACATGTAATGGCTATGCATTTAGCATTTTTCTTAATAGGTGGTGCTTTGCTCTAATATCTCATACTTCTGGTAGCCAAACTTAACTGAAAGAATGATTAAGTAGGTGGCATTTGGTGTTTTTTATCTACTATAATGTGTTCTAAAGAGGAATGGTAGTAAATGACTGCTATTTGATATCTGTCATGCAATCGTCAATGGTTTTTAATCGGATGCGTATGAGGGTATTGTTTCTAACGTTTTCAGAGGTTGGCTTTGGTAAAACGGTAATGAGATGAGATTACGGTTACCGGTTTATATGGTGTAGGGGTAGGGTATCACTAGATAAGAGCTAAAATGCCTTCTACGACAAAGGTTAGCTGAGATGCTGCTTTAATGGGAGGCTTGTGTATAGGGAGGGAGCACTGTCGAATTCGAATGGTAGGTGATATTCTGTTGTAAGGATTACACCAGTATGTGGTGGTTATGATGTAAGTAGTGCGATGAGTCGGTCCTTCATAAATTTCCACCTGATGGGGATCGAATGAGATAGTTCTACTTGGTTTTGGGATAAATCTCCTCTCAAGCCTACGATGGGATTACTGAGTTCAAATATTTGAAATCGGCTCCTGTTTTTGTTGTCGCATTGATTTTCAATATTTCAGAAATCCTCTTGAGTGAATTTTCTCGATTGATAAGATAGAGCTTAGTTCACAAGAACAACTCGTTTTACGAATGATCCAAAAGTTGATAAACAAGAAGGAAAATTTTAAACTATTTTCTCCCCATTCGTGATCGAAGGATTGGCCTTTAGCGTTTGGTGGCAACAATTTTTGAGAACCACTAACTTAAATCGCTTTGATTAAAACTCGTGTTTGTATTTTTTCGTTTGCCTAAACTGTTCTCCATAACCTCAAATGGAAAATAGTGATTGGTGATTTGTACTCGTCTCTCTCGAGATTCCCGATCAAAGTCATTTTATACACTGTTTCTTCCTCAGCACTATCGTTTGGTTCTGTAAACTCTGGCTATTCCCTATTGGACTTGGCCGTTAGCTGTTATGCCCAGCTCTAACAACAATAAACTAAATATTTACCTTCCATGTTCCTTGTATGACCTTGAAATTGTAAACTGCTATTTGGGCCAGTTCCGCGTAATTGGTTTATGGACTATCAACCTTATAATTAACGCAATAGGAAGATGGCTGGGAAGCCACCTTCAGCGGTTATCTTCAAGTGCTCCTTCACAGGGCCTTCACGCTCATGTCTAATCGGTGGTCATTCAGTGTCAGGAGATTTATTATTCCTATGAGGTGATTAATAGCCGTGGTCTCTGTGTCTGTTGTTTATAATACCCTTCTAGTCCGATTTATTCTTATGCGTTGTCTGGACAACATGGACATGTATAGATAGATAATGGGGCCCAGGATACTCTAAAGATGATATATGAAAACTCCGACTTTCCTTTTACCGTCTTCTGGAATTTAGAATTAACCAAAATGTCCTATTTGAACAGAGAACTAATTTTTATTTGGCTTGTTTGGGATAGGCAAATCAAGTTAATTCTTATCAAATTGATATAAACTTAATTTAATGAAACTGGCATCCTCAAGTAAAAATCGAATACGAAGAAGTGACTTAAGTGTTGCCGAAGATTAATGATGTCAACTGGAGTTTTTAAAAGTGTGGAAATTACATTCCTGATACGTGTTTCTCAGAACGAAGCCTAAATATTTGCTAATTAAAATGAGGCTTTACGTTTTCATGAGTTATGAGTCTTCACCAATTGAATGGGGCAGATGAAGTTTTGGTTAGTTTGTTGTAGCTAATGGCTGTTAACGATTAACCGCAGTCTGCGAATTGGGAAGCCAATAGTTGAAAGGAAATCAAACTCCATTACTGTGCGACAGTAATGTAGAGAAGGGGGGGGGGGGAAGAAAGACAGAAACTGCGGAGTAAGAGAAAGAAGAATAAGGAAGAGAATGGGGGNTGACAAACCAAAAAGTCTCTCTACCCATGAACCCATTAGCAGACACTGATGACTTCTTCAGGAAATCAAACGCCCTTCCAGAGCAAATGCGCTCACTGACCCTAGAGACAATCAATGTCAACTATCCTGGGGATCAATGGCTCCAAGTCTTCACTGATGGGTCATACATAGAAAACCAAGCAAATATAAGTGCAGGTGTCTATTTTGAACTCTTCTCTTTCTACGCAGCAGCGGGACATAATAGATCCGCTTTCGAAGGAGAAATAGAGGCAATTCGGATAGCACTACCCCAATTATGTTGCCTGGATACGAAATTCACCAAAGCAGTGATACTTTCGGACTCACAGTCAACAATAAACTCAATTGGAAGCAGAGAGCCACCCAAAACAGCTGAGATAAACGAATGTAGAAAACTCTATCAGCTGCTGAGAGAGAAAAATAAAACAGTGGTCCTACAATGGATTCCTGGTCACTGTGGGATTAAAGGCAATGAGCTTGCTGACACACTTGCTAAGAAGGGGACAATGATTTTGCAATGCATGGACCAGCCGATATCTTTCCACACAATGAAGGCCTTAATCAGGTGCAACGAACTTAAAGCTCGAACAAAGGAGAAACAGTGGACAGTGGCACTCTCCGACATAGCCGACTGGCCAAGAATCGAAACCGTTGCTGAGTTTAGACTACGCACCGGACACGATTGCTTGGCAAAACGCCTTCACAGATTGGGAGTATACACTCAACCCACATGCCCCCTATGTAACCTATATATATATATGTGTGTGTGTGTGTGTGTTTAAAGTCTTCATAATCAAAAATATCGATTTTCTCCCAATTTGGCAAGAACAAAATTAAATTGATAAGTGTCGTGCAAAATTAATGAGAAATTAGCAAGGATACAAACAAGAGCTGCAATTTCATCCTAAGAGTGCAACTAGTGGATAATTATTTTAAAATCCATAAAATAATAGCCTTGAAGATATTCAGCCAGTTTCAAGTTAAGTAATTTGGGGTAATAAATTAATCGGTATCTTTCCTCCCGTGAGTGGTTTGATCCTATCTCTTGAAAACAACGTTAATGCATCCGTCGCCTAAGCATAACTAGATCTCCACTCGCCCAAAACAGAAAATACTTGCATTTCTGTTGAACAGGTAAATATTTTGTTATATCATTTAAATGCAAAATGTGATATCAACGATAATATTTTGAATTAGTCAGTTACTTAACTTTCTACTTGCCAAATGGGTATGCATCAGCATAAAGACATTCCATTTGAGGTGCTGTCTATCCATATTGCAATCACAACTGTACGGAGAACTGCTAATTCAATTTCACTTCTGAATTCGTGCAAACCTTTGGATGTAATTAATTAGTAAATAGCAGAATGAAAAGTCGATGCATATCCATTGCTAAAAAATAATGATAAGCCTCTCGACGGTATAATAGTTTCTCCCACTATCAAATAGGCTGTTGAAGTGACAGTTGTTAAGTGTTAAAAATTTTTACCCAGCTCGGCGATAAACCTCCAAACGATCTTGGCATTGAATGATTTTTGATTCCAGCTCCATGCTCTCGATGAGAATCTGTCGGAGTTCCTCTAGTCGGAAGGAGGGTGAATTTGAAATTAAATAGGAGCCTTTTGACCTCGCGTTTTTCGCCAAGACCTTATCATCCGCGTTTAACGCCAACACGAAATCCGATTTCTTCTTTTCTTCATCCTAAACGTGCACCACAAAAGTTTGTAAAGTTATAAAAATTAATATAAAACTTAATTATAGTGCCCTGTTTCATTAATGAATGCAAATACAAAATTGAGGTCATAACAATATGGTTTTAGTAAAGTGGGAATTAGAATGAGGTGGAAATATGGAGCCCATTCACGCCTGATTAAAGTCTTTAATACCCCCCCCCCTCCCAGATTGTTCTCTGCCTATTCAATGATTATACCTCAGCACGTCATGCTCAACGTTCTAAATTTCCCATTTCAAGTCGTGATGCACTGATTTCCTATTGAATGGTGACAGAGGCTCTTTAGATATCCCACGCCGTCCTTTGCCTTAGAGGAAGTAATTTTGAGAAACAGAGCTCGACAATACTAAAACAAAGAAAGCGTTTGCAGCCAATAGTGATCCGACATATATCCGATGCAATACTCACATTAGCATTGCCCGAATACCATTCGCTTAAAATTGAAATCGGTATATAACTGGAATAAGCTACTAACCAAGGTCACTTTCGAGGGATTTTCATAAAGATAGTTATAAAAGGGAAAAGGAATATGCGATCACTCTAACAGATAATCCACTCTAAAGTACATACTTAGTTTTGAAATACCTCCAGAAACCACTGCTTCAATTTTCAAACTTTCGATTAGTTTAAATCTGATAAGCGAAATTTTCTCCTGGGGCATTTTTGGTGGATTTAATTTTATGCCAAAATGGGATGGAGGGAGGAAAGGAGTGAACTTACAAGGAGTGGTGAAATTAGCCAATATGCGGGCTTTTCTCCTTCCAAGTTTCCAAAACCCATTAAGAAATAAGCAAAAAAAACACACCTTATTCTACTTTAAATAAAACTTTAAATATAAAAGGGTAAATTTATTCGAACTCTGACATTCTACATGTTAAGAGGTCTCCTTCACGGCACTCAAATGTTTGAGAACTATTTGTTTGTTGTTAAACATCATAGAACTCGAAATGCGATTAATATCTAATAAAATTCAACACTAAGACGGAGTATTTTGATACTGATAAGCAAAGACACCAGCGATTGTGATTAGTGAAATATTTGCAGGCTTTAGAAGGATCAGATTTCCAAAGTTAAGTCAAGTATTATAGTTGAAAGAGAATTGCTTGTCGCCAGCAAAAAAGAAATTCAAAACACAATCTCAGAAGTTCCGAATGAATGCATAAATAATTTGCCTCGGCTCTACTTCTCCTTAGTGTACTCTCTTTCACGAATACTCCTCTCTCTGCATCTAAGCGCATTTCCAATCTAAGCACCTCGTAACTGCGAAAAGTTTATCTCCTTTTGGAATTTTATTCCCCACTTTGGAGGCAAATTTTTAATGGAATTTGGGCATAACCGCATGGGAGATTGTAAACATGAGACTATTAAGTTGTGTTTGGCGGAGAGTGTGAAAGAGTTTGAGCAAAAATCAGATTTTTATGCAGAGCGCAGAGCTCATCTCTCCGACTGCTCGAGAAGGGAAACTGCAGTCGTCGTCGTCGGCGTTCTACGCAGCACTGAGAAAAGTTGGAGATGAAGGTTTAAAAGTGGCCTTTTTTGCCTCAAACGAATATTCATTTAAAAACATTAACTTTAACTATGCCTGCTGTGCGATAGACTTACCTCCACGTGGTGCACCATGGGCAACGTATATTCATACGGCAAAAAAGTCTATTGACTGGCAGTTGACTTCTCACTTCAAACTACCATCACCTCACTCTATGCCATATTCGACTATTTACACAGTACTCATCATACCTTTTTCTACCTTTGTATCTGTCTCTTTAACACCTTTGATACACTCTTNGGGGGGGAGAGAAGATCTTGAAAATTGTGCAACCCCGAAACCGAACGTGCAATCGCGTGTCTTGAACTTTACGAGTACAATCAGTAATCCATATTCTACAACTGTGTCGAATGAAAACAGTTTAAGCAAACGCTACAACATAAAAATAATTGTTAGCAACTTGAATTAAATTAATGTTGCTCAAAATATTCTTAGATATTCTTAACAAATCCTTTCAAGTTTAGCACATATTTAGGAATTTTTTCTACACCGAAGTTATCAGATGATTGTGTTCAAAATCAATATCTACTTGAAAGCGACCGCACAAATGAATTTAAATCGTAACAGCTTTGACCTATCACTCGCGTTACTCTCTGGAAGTCTGTTCGTAGTTGGGGAACATTCCATAGCTACCTTAATACTAAGTGTGAATACCCAAAGTGTGGGGTGTGATACAGACGTAATTCGTGAGGTATTTGCAGGAAACCATTTTCGAATTTGTTTACAGTATTCTGATAACCAGACATAGCGACTCTACGGCTAACGAGTGAAGTGCAAGTTTAGAGATTGTCATAAGCGGATAAAATGTAAAGAAGTCGTGAATTTCCATTTGACCGAGAGCTTCTAGTTAAAAAATTGCCAGAAGTAACCAGGACTATGTCAGACTAAAGTTGAGAGAAAAATATGGCCACCAGAAAGGACTTGATTCATTTAAAATATGGTTCACAGTTCATTGTAGCGAGATATAGTCTCAAAAAGTCAAAATTTCTCTTCGATTTCTGCATTCTTTAAAGAGTCTACGTCTGAAATGTCCAAGACTCATTATACGGCTTGGATAAGGCATTTATTTTGAAAATTGGTCTTTTTCATTAACTACGAATCCACTAGTCTATTGTATTATCTATTGACAATTAAAGGATAAGAACAACTCAACCATTCAGCAATTATTGAGTACGATATATGCAAACGCACTTAGGAATCTCGTAAGTAAATTCTAAAGACTGGATATCACTATACCACAAAGTTAGCTACCAACTTTAGCAAATATGGATAAATCGATACTTCGGGTTTCAACAAAGTGTGACCTGTGATATCCTGCTTTCAATACCAAATTATTATACATCACATCGCCTATCGCATGTTGTTCTTCGCATGATCAGTATTTTTAACAATACTATTAACGTAGTTTACTGGAGTTAGCTTACAATTAGCGTCAAATAATGTAATTTTTTTCATCTAATAACAATGTTGTTAAATTTTGCCAATTTGGGTAAAATTTTCCTTCCACAATATAAGAAACTTTATTTGATTCGCGAAGTAACTGATGTATCGGATTGCTACCTTAGTAAAGCCTAACTGACTCAGAAATATCTATGGCAGATTCTCCAACATCTAGCTAGACTCCCAGAACCAGCTAAGCTATAGCCCAGCTATAAAGGAAACAGACGTGTAGCAAGGAGCACGTTTATTCAGTCAGTATATTGCGGATCAGGGGTGTGCGATAGACTTACCTCCACGTGGTGCATTCTGGGCAACGTATACTCATACGGCAAAAAAGTCTATTAATCGGCAGTTGACTTCTGACTTCAAACTACCAAGACCCCGCCGCATTTCATATTCTACCAATTAAACAGTACTCACCTTTTTTCTACCTTTGTGTCTGTCTGTCTGTCTCTTTTACGTATGTGAATCATTATTCTGCCCCCCCTCTCGACTTTTTGCCACTTTGGTGTTCCTCTTC